CCCTCTCCAATGCGTCCACATCCTTTTTGTAGTGGGGGGCCCAGAACTGGACACAATACTCCAGATGTGGCCTCACCAGAGCCGAATAAAGGGGAATAATCACATCTCTGGATCTGCTGGCAATGCTCCTCTTAATGCAACCTAATATGCCATTAGCCTTTTTGGCTACAAGGGCACACTGTTGATTCCTATCCAGGTTTTCATCCACTGTAACCCCCAGGTCCTTTTCTGCAGAACTACTACTTAGCTGGTTGGTCCTGTAGAAACCCTTTCATATTTAGCTAGAAGCCATCTTGAATAACAGAAACCATTTCAGCTTTTCCCTCTTGCACGTAGACCAGAGTGAACTTTCTGTCACTCTGTGAGAAGAGGCCTACAAGATGGGCTATTGGAATGTGTTAATTGGGCTGGTTCAGACAGGAGAGGTACTCCCTCGTACCTGTCCACCATCTTGTTGATAAGGCTTTGTTTTTCCTAATTTAATTGATGATTTCTGTAATTGGATGCCCTGACGTCAGACTGTTTGGTTAAGGGTATAAAGATACTAGGATTGATTGTATTAGCCAGCCTTACTGGGCCCGGCTCTGCTGGGACCACGTTTGGCTCACTTGACTTTACTGATCAATAAAGCTGTTTGTTTAGCCGCCTAAAACTGAGTAAAGTCTTTGCTTCGACAGTCCCCAGCCAGTAACAATGCTTGGGATTCTTCTATCTCAAGTGCAGGACTCTGCACTTGTCCTTGTTGAACCTTATCAGATTTCTTGTGACCCAATCCTCCAATTTGTCTAAGCCACTCTGGACCCTATCTCTGCCCTCAAGCTTATCTACCTCTCCCCCTAGCTTAGTGTCATCCGCAAACTTGCTGAGGGTGCAATCCATCCCCTCATCCAGGTCATTAATAAAGATATTGAACAAAACCGGTCCTAGAACCGAACTTTGGGGCACTCCGCTAGAAACCGACCACCATCCTGACATCGAGCCATTGATCACTACCCGCTGGGCCCGGCCTTCTAGCCATCTTTCTATCCATCTTACTGTCCATTTATCCAATTCACATTCCCTTAACTTGCTAGCAAGAATATTGTGGGAGACCATATCAAAAGCCTTGCTAAAGTCAAGGTATATCACATCCACTGACTTTCCCATGTCCACAGAGCTAGTTACCTCATCATAGAAGCTCATCAGATTGGTCAGGCACGACTTTCCTTTGTGAATCCATGCTGACTACTCCTAATCACTTTCCTCTCTTCCAAGTGCCTCAAAATGGATTCCTTAAGGATCTCTTCCATGATTTTTCCAGGAACCGAGGTAAGACTGACCGGCCTATAGTTCCCTGGATCGTCCTTCTTCCTTTTTTTGAAGATGGGCACTACATTTGCATTTTCCCAATCATCCGGGATTTCTCCCGACCTCCACGACTTTTCAAAGATAATGGCCAAAGGCTCCTGAATGACATTTGCCAACTCCCTCAGTACCCTTGGATGCATTAAGTCCAGACCCATGGATTTTTGTACGTTTCTAAATAGTTCCTAACCTGTTCTTTACCCACCAAGGGCTGTCCATCTTCATCCCATCTTGCGTCACTTAGCGCATTAGTCTGGGAGCCCACCTTGTCCGTGAATACAGAGGCAAGGAAAGCATTGAGTACTTCAGCCTTCCCTACATCATCTGTCACTAGGTTACCTCCTTCATCCAGTAGGGGACGCACACCCTCTCTTCTTTTTTATTTCTGCTTTGCTTGTCCATGTTAGCTACTGACTTTTCCCCTCTACCTCTGCATTATATTTTCTTCCTTCCATACATGATAGTGTGGGTCTCTCTTTTCCATATTGTACTCATTTTTCTGGTGTACAGATCATCTCAGGGCCTAGTTCTGCTCTCAGGGAAGTCAGTAGAAAGGCTCCCATTAATTTCACTGGGAAAATAATCAATATCCAATTTGCCATATTTTCCTTCTCATTTTTTCTGCTTTTCTTTCCTCTAGTTTCTATTTTTGTGGGCTCAATTGCTATAATTAAATTCTTTCTCTACTCGGGTTGTCTCTTATTTCACTTGCTTCTCTGCTCTATAATACCCCTACTTCATTATCTTTTCTCTTCCAGTGTTTCTTTTATTACTCTTTTCTTTTTACTTTCAGTATCTCCATCATGCTAGCTAGCTAGCTTGCTTCCATCCTTCTCTCTCCTTCCCTCAAATGTTTCCTTTCTTCTTTCCCTTTTTTTCTGACCATCTGAGATCTCTAGAACTTTCTTTGTAATCACACAGTTTCCAGAGCTGATCCTTAGTGTTGTTTGCACGAATTGCATGCACCTGAAATTGATTGCCACTGAACTGAGAGCAAAAATCAGTATCTCAAGTCTTGAGCATCAACCACTGGCTTTGCTATAGCTTCAACTTTTTAGGCCTCTCGCTTTCAGCTCTCAGCATTAACATGAGATCCGTTTAAAAAAAAAGTTTAAAAGAGCAAGGTCGTGGGACAATGCAACTGGCTATAAATGACCTAAAGATTTCCCCAAAGGTAGTGTTATCTCGCTGTAAATAGTGTATTGTGTTTTGGCTATGTCGTGTATTGTGTTTTGGCTATATTTGTAAACTCTGTACTATCTGTAAATTGACCTTCCCTCCCATCCCCATCTTTAGGTGTTTGTGATGTGGACCATCAAAATAAAGCGGGGTACACAGCAGTGATGATCACACCCCTGGCATCGGCAGAGAATGATGAAGACATGGAGGTGGTCTTAAAGTTGTTGAAAGAAGGGAACGTAAACATACGGGCAAGTCAGGTACATAACAATCATCAACAGTCCTTGTTTGTTTGTACAAATGAACAAAGGCTTGAAAAGATAAAGGAGCCAATAATCAATTTGCAATCAGGTAGAAGATAATAAGGTAATAAGTAACAGTCAGCATGGATTTGTCAATAGAGCATGTCAAACCAACCTAACAGCTTTCTTTGACAGGATATTGAGCCTTGTGAACAGGGGGAACTGGTAGATATGGTTACATCTTGGCTTTAGTATGGCTTTTGATATTGTCTCACTTGACTTTTTCATAAACAAACTAGGGAAATACAACCCAGATGAGGTGTATACCTAGCTGGAAAACTGTTTCTGAGAGTAGTTACCAGTGATTCACAATGAAGCTGGAAGAGTGTGGGGGTCCTGCAGGTATCGTTTCTGGGTCTGATTCTGTTCAATATTGACTTAGATAATGGCATAGAGCATACACTTACAGGCTGTGTCTACATTGGCACCCTTTTCCGGAAAAGGGATGCTAATCATAGAATCATAGAATCATAGGACTGGAAGGGACCTCGAGAGGTCATCGAGTCCAGCCCCCCGCACTCAAGGCAGGACCAAGCTCCATCTACACCATTCCTGACAGATGTCTATCTAACCTGTTCTTAAATATCTCCAGAGAGGGAGATTCCATCACCTCCCTTGGCAATTTATTCCAATATTTGACCACCCTGACAGTTAGGAATTTTTTCCTAATGTCCAATCTAAACCTCCCCTGCTGCACTTTAAGCCCATTACTCCTTGTCCTGTCCTCAGAAACCAAGAGGAACAAATTTTCACCTTCCTCCTTGTGACACCCTTTTAGATATTTGAAAACCACTATCATGTCCCCCCTTAATCTTCTTTTTTCCAAACTAAACAAGCCCAGTTCATGAAGCCTGGCTTCATAGGCTTCTCTAGACCTTTAATCATTCTTGTCACTCTTCTCTGTACCCTTTCCAATTTCTCCACATCTTTCTTGAAATGTGGCACCCAGAACTGGACACAGTACTCCAGCTGAGGCCTAACTAGTGCAGAGTAGAGCAGCAGAATAACTTCACGAGTTATGCTTACAACACACCTGTTGATACAACCTAGAATCATATTTGCTTTTTTGGCAACAGCATCACACTGTTGACTCATATTCAACTTGTGGTCCACTATGACCCCTAGATCCCTTTCCGCCATGCTCCTTCCTAGACAGTCGCTTCCCATCTTGTATGTATGGAACTGATTGTTCCTTCCTAAGTGGAGCACTCTGCATTTCTCCTTATTAAACCTCATCCTGTTTACCTCTGACCATTTCTCTAACTTGCTAAGGTCATTTTGAATTATGTCCCTATCCTCCAAAGAAGTTGCAACCCCACCCAGTTTGGTATCATCCGCAAACTTAATAAGCGTACTCTCTATCCCAATATCTACATCATTGATGAAGATATTGAACAGTACGGGTCCCAAAACAGACCCTTGAGGAACTCCACTTGTTATCCCTTTCCAGCAGGATTTAGAACCGTTAACAACAACTCTCTGACTACGGTTATCCAGCCAATTATGCACCCACCTTATCGTGGCCCTATCTAAGTTATATTTGCCTAGTTTATCAATAAGAATATCATGCGAGACCGTATCAAATGCCTTACTAAAGTCTAGGTATATGACATCCACCGCTTCTCCCTTATCCACAAGGCTCGTTATCCTATCAAAGAAAGCTATCAGATTAGTTTGGCATGACTTGTTCTTCACAAACCCATGCTGGCTATTCCCTATCACTTTATTACCTTCCAAGTGTTTGCATATGATTTCCTTAATTACCTGCTCCATTATCTTCCCTGGGACAGACGTTAAACTGACCGGTCTATAATTTCCTGGGTTGTTCTTATTCCCCTTTTTATAGATGGGCACAATATTTGCCCTTTTCCAGTCTTCTGGAATCTCCCCTGTCTGCCATGATTTTTCAAAGATCATAGCTAAAGGCTCAGATACCTCCTCTATCAGCTCCTTGAGTATCCTGGGATGCATTTCATCAGGACCTGGTGACTTGCTGACATCTAACTTTCCTAAGTGATTTTTAACTTGTTCTTTGTGTATCCTATCTTCTAAACTTACCCTCTCTCTGCTTGTATTCACTACGTTAGGCACACCTCCAGACTTCTCGGTGAAGACCGAAACAAAGAAGTCATTGAGCATCTCCGCCATTTCCAAGTTCCCTGTTACTGCTTCTCCCTCCTCACTAAGCTTCTACTTAGGGAGGGATAATCAGTTGCACACTTAAAGAAAATGACTGCCTAGTAAGAAATACGTCAGAAAGGGATCTGTGGGTGACAGTAGACAACAAATAAATATGAATCAACAGTGTAACTCCGTTTAAAAAAAAAAAAAAGCAAACAGCATTCTGAGATGTATTAGCAGAAACATTGTAAGCAAGACATTGTGACATAATTCTTCCGCTATACTCTGCACTGATCAGACTCAGCTGGTGTGTTGTGTCCAGTTCTGGGCACCATATGTTAGGAAAGATGTGGACAAGTTGGAGACTGTCAAGAGAAGAGCAACAAAAATGACTAAAGGTCTATAGAACATGACCTATGGAGAAGATTGAAAAAATGAGTTTGTTTAATCTGGAAGAGAGATAACAGAGATGAAAATACTAAGGGTATGTCTATATTGCTTTCCTCTTCTGAGAGAGGAATGCAAATACAGACACCCGAAATTGCAAATGAAGTGCGGATTTGAATTTCCCGCGCTTCATTTGCATAATCGTGGACTGCCACTTTTCTGGAATAGTGTCTTTCGATAGAACAAACACGGTCTCCGTGGGGTTATTTCGAGAGAAAACCCTTCCTTCGAAACAATCCTTACTCCCGGTTTAAGGATTATTTCGAAAGAAGGGTTTTCTCTCGAAATAACCCCGTGGGAACCACGTTTGTTGTCTTGAAAGACCCTATTCCAGAAAAGTGGCAGTCCGCAGTTATGCAAATGAAACATGGGAAATTCAAATCCGCGCTTCATTTGCAATTTTGGGTGTCTGCATTTGCATTTCTCTCGGAAGAGGAATGCAATGTAGATATACTGTAACAGTTTTCAATCACAGAAAAGATTGTTACAAAGAGGTGGGAGAAAAAATTGTTCTCCTTAACCTCTGAGAAGCGGACAAGAAGCAATGGTCTTATGTTGTAACAAGGATAACTTAGGTTGGATATTAGGGAAAACATCCTGTCAGTAGCTAAGCACTCTGCCCGAGGAGGTTGTGCATTCTCCATCATTGGTTATTTTAAAGAGCAAGGTCAGACAAACACCTCTCAGGAATGGTCTAGATCAGGGGTCTCAAACTCCTGGGCTGCAGGCCAGTCTTGGCTAGAGCAATTGCACAATCTGGCCCCGGACTCCCAGCCGGGTGGGGTCTGTCCATTACTGGCCCCCAAACTCCACCCCTTTCTGACATAGCTCAGCCCTGAGGACACAGCTTCAGGGCTCGGGGGAGGGAAGGCTGGCATCGCAAGCCGGCTATGGTTGTACACACACACTATGCTCCCCATTGCAGCAGGAGCTGCAGAGAAGAAGAGTGCACCAGGGGGCCCAGTGCACTCCGCTTCTCCCATTGCTCCTGTCACTGCTGTGAGTGGATGGGGGGGGGCATGACTGCTGCTGCTCTGCCAGGCCCCCAGAACCCGCCCCACAGGTGATCCCTGAAGCCGTGTCCTCAGGGGATGTGGTGTTATGGCAGTGAGAGAGTGGGCTGATAGTGGGAAGGGGAAGGGCTTGGGGTCTGGTAACTGATAGACCCGGCCTGCTGGGAGTCCTGGACTGGACTGCATAATCGCTCCAGCCGGGGCTGGCCCATGGCCTGGGCGTTTGAGACTCTAGATAATACTTCGCCTTGTCTTGAGTACAAGGGGCTGAACTAGATGGCCTCTTGTTCTCCCTATGATTCTGTTTCTGTACACATCTGTGAACTAGATGATGCATGGGAACCATAGAGATTAGTTCCCTTACAACCCCAAGGCTCTGTCTAGACTGCAGGGTTTTTTCGAAAAAAGTAGCCTTTTTTACAAGGGGCTGAACTAGATGGCCTCTTGTTCTCCCTATGATTCTGTTTCTGTACACATCTGTGAACTAGATGATGCATGGAAACCATAGGGATTAGTTCCCTTACAACCCCAAGGCTGTGTCTAGACTGCAGGGTTTTTTCGAAAAAAGTAGCTTTTTTTCGAAAAAACTTCAACTGCGTCTAGACTACAGCCGTGTTCTTTCGAAATTAAATCGAAAGAACGCGGCTTTTCTTTTGACGGTGATACTCCTCATTTCACAGGAATAACGCATTTTTTTCGAAAGTGCTCTTTCGAAAAAAGGCGCTATGTAATGCAAACTGTGCTTTTTCGAAAGAGAGCATCCAGACTGCCTGGGCGGCTTGCTTTTTTGAAAGTACTGGTTGCAGTCTAGATGCTCTTTTTTGAAAGAGGCTTTTTCGAAAGTATCTTTCAAAAAAGCCTCTTTCAAAAGAGGCTTGCAGTCTAGACGTAGCCCAAATGACATGATTCATTTGGCAAACTCATTCACAAGCCAAATCCTGCAAAGTTCATGCCATCCTAATTATAATCATAACTGGCCAATTCCCATGGGTGGCGGGTAGCATAGGCTGGGGGAGGCTATGCCCTGGCCACACTCCACCCCTATGCCACACACACACCCGTTTCGGATTGGTGTGGCTGCTCCAGTCTCCCTCTGGGGTGATCCTAGCTCATGCTGCACCATCCACCCTCTTGTCGATCCACTACTGGGAAGGGTGCAGCTGCACCGCCCATTCTCCCACTGCTCTCCCATTGCTCCGGGACTGGGGAGGGTGCAGCTGTGCTGCCTGCCTTCCTGGTGCTCCAGGGCTGGGGGAGAAGAGGGCTGCAACTGTGTGCCACCTGCTCTTCTGTTACTCTGGGGCTGGGGGCGCTGGGGCTGCCTGCTTTGGGGCAAGTGGCTGATGATTAGGGGGAGGGAAGGGGGACTGGAGGCTTGCCTCCCCCAGCTGGTGATTCCTGATTCATGGTTCGCCCATGATGGTTCCTATTACTTACTTACAATGTGAGTTCAGCATGAATAAAGGAATGAAAGATCTGGCCAAACAAAATGACTTTGGGATGTATTTATGGTGTAATTAATAAAGTCTCAGCACATATGTGAGCTAGCCTTATACAGATGCTGCATGATAGAACCTTTTATATGCTAATTCAGCAAGCGCAAATAAACATGTTTAATACTCCTCAGAATTTATTTCCTTCATAATTATGTCCCCTTAAAGGTCTTTATAGGGAGAATAATTTAAGCACTACAGCAGGACATTGAGAAGCAAGATTATATGTGTTAATGTGTATATTGTATTGAAGTTACCAGTTTAGAAAGTTAAAAGCAGCATATTCAGCCAAATTGCAGACCACAGTGACGAAAACCCTCTGGACTTTGCCTGCCTCAGGGCGGCTTCTCAATCTACGCTCTTATGCACAAGTGTCAAACAATCAGTCAGTTGCTAATTAACATAATTGAAGGAAAACTGAGAGGGCCTGATCCTGCAGTGTACTGAATTATCTCCCACATGCAGTAAGTGCCCTCAGCTACCATGCGGGTGGGAATGGGACCCAGAACCTTGCAGGCCCTGATGAAAATTGAGCAAGGTTGCCTAGGAACTCATTAGCTTTTTCGGACTCCCAACTGCTTGCTAAACAATGAAATAAGAGTTTAAGAAATTAAGGTGAAGTAAATTTAACATAAAGAACCCAGAATGTGAACCACTATGGGGAGGGGGAATTGTGTAGGGGTGAACACCACAGAATAAATATTTTTGAGACAACGTCTCTACACAGAATTATTTAGTGATCGTTGCGTGAACTTTTCTGGGCCCAATTCTCATTTACGCTAAGGTTCCTTTTCACCACTCTGGAATTTTTGTTCTTTTTCTTCTGGCAGTACAAAGGCAGCACGAGTGTGGTTATAAATGAACCTCTAAGGACCTTTGTGTAAAGGGCAACCTCTCTAAGTTTCACTAGTTTACTTTGCTGTTACAAACAGTGATAGCTTTATATTATATGGACAATAAAAACAAAAGAAATGGCCAGCTTGGCCAGGGCCAGAAGATTTAGGCTACTAGGGAGCCTTTGACACATGTCAAGGTGAGAGTTCCCTCTGTAATTTGCTTCCAAATTTCCTACCTCAGACAAAGTGGTACTGACAGGGGTAGTGTAAGGCTGTGTCTACACTGGGTCACTTATTCTGAAAAAGCAGCCGCTTTTCTGGAATAACTTGTCAGCTGTCTACACTGGTCGCTTGCTTTTCCAGAAAAGCAATGACGATCTACTGTAAAATTATCAGTGTTTTTCCGGAAAAACTATGCTGCTCCCGTTCAGGCAAAAGTCCTTTTCCAGAAAAACTGTTCCAGAAAAGGGCCAGTGTAGACAGCACAGGAGTCTTTTCTGGAAAAAAGCCCCAATCGTGAAAATGACGATCGGGGCTTTTTTCCGGAAAAGCGCATCTACATTGGCCACGGACGCTTTTCCAGAAAAAGTGCTTTTCTGGAAAAGCATCCTGCCAATGTAGATGCACTTTTTCCGGAAATACTTATAACGGAAAACTGTTCTGTTTTAAGCATTTCCGGAAAAGGGTGCCAGTGTAGACATAGCCTAAATGTCTACCACCTCTTAGCAGGATGGACCTAGAAGTGCTCAACTGCATGTCATTAGCCCTATACAGCTAATAGCTAACAGATAATCTCCAATAGCACCAGTGGCAGGGCCTTCTCTTTTGGGACACACACAAGTGAGCTTTAGTCATGCTCTCACAATGAAGTTCTGAGGAGCCATAGAAGAATCACCCCATAGATTTGTTACAGCATCTGCTGTAGGGCTCCCCGTGTTCCAAACAAGGCTGCTATGCTATTTGAATGCTTAGATTGTGCAAGTAAGTTACCCACCAAGAGAATGTATGTCATTATGTTTGGTCTGTCTTGCAATATTTCCAGGGAGGCCAAACAGCCTTAATGTTAGGTGTCAGCCATGACAGGGGAGATATGGTGAGAGCCTTGTTGTCTTGCAAGGCTGACATAAACCTGCAGGATGATAATGGGACTTCTGCACTGATGGTTGCCTGTCATCATGATAACGCTGAGATCGCGAAGCTTCTTCTGGCTCACCCTGGTTGTAACACTGCCTTAAAGGACAAGGTAAGGGAAACCGGCCATTGGAGCATGTACTGTAAAAAATGTGTGTGTTCACATAGTCACTGCCGGGAGACAGTTAGTGGATGTTTAAATAAACCACATGGCCTTAGAACAGGACAGGAGCAGAAACTAGATACTTTTGTTTCTCCCTTATCCAACATGTTAATAAGTGGGCTTTGGCTCTGTTCCTTGACTGTTTCACAAACAAAGGGGACTGGATCAGTTTTAAAGATTTGAAGGATTAATTAACCTGAGTTTTAACTCATTTATCAATTCCAAACCAAGCTGCACAAATTGCCTACTTAGAAGTGCAATGAAACCTGCTTTAACAGAGAAGCTCCTGCCTTCATAGACCACTTTCGGTGTAGCCCCAAATATACTAACTATAGTTGTACCCCAGCATCTGTAGGAGGTCAGTGTCATTAAGCAAAAAATATTTTTTTCAGTTTGTTGAGCATTCACTTAAGACAGGGGTCACTATCAATATGGTGAACACGTAAGTACAAGAAGAAAGAACTACAGCTGCATACGGTGCTGGAGGTTTGGTACAGGATGTCCCCACTATAAGTCACTACGGCATACATTCATTCCGCACTCTTAAGCCATGCCAAAAAATCCCCCCAATTTGAGCAAATGGAAGTCAGCCAGAGAAAAAAAAATTCCCCACTTTAATTTATTTTGCTATAAAACCAAGTTTTTTGGAACATATCTTGGACTTACAGTGAAGACGGCCTGTATATGAAAAAGTGTGAGTGAGAGGAGAATGATTCCAGCACAGGTCCTGATCTCTTTAAAATACCATAAAAAGGTAACACTTGGGTTGCACTCACGCAGCATGAACCTCAAGATGTTTCTTATTTTGTACACTGGGGATCTCAAGCTCCCAGCCTGTGGGCCATCTCTAGCCAGAGTGATTGCGTGATCTAGCCCAGGACTTCAGGTGGGCTGAGAGGGGGCTATCTGTTGCCACCCCTTCCTGCTATTGCCCTATCCTCTCCTTTCCTGTCACCCTGTCCCTAAGGACATGGCTTTATAGATCACCGGAGAGGCCTGGCACCGCATGGTGGCAGCAGTCACATGCAGACACCCCCCTCCCCCGCAACACACTCCCTGTGGCAGCAGACAGCAGTCACATGCAGACACCCCCCCTGCAACACACTCCCTGTGGCAGCAGGAGTTTGAGAGCCCTGTTTACACATTCAGTATACCAGGATACAGCCCTCTGCATTTGGCACTGTGGGTTGTGATCGACAAGCAGGTTACAAACGATATTACACGCCCCTTTGACATTTACCAGATAATTAAATTGAAAATAATGTGAAAGTTCCACTCTAGGGCTGTATTCCAGCATTATGATTTAGTGCTAAAACCACAGAAAAATATCATTTATAGACCACAGCTTCATTAGTTTTATATAAAAACTTGGCACATACACGCACATTGGCCAGTTCTCCACTTGAAAGAGCCATTGAAAGCAATTGCATCAATCAGAGTCAAGTAATGGCATGTACCCCCCATTCAACTACAGGGGGTCACCACTGAAAAAAAACACTTTCTTCCTCCGAATGCCATCCTGCCATTTGTAACAGCTAGTGAGCCTCCCTTTTATAGGGTTCCAGTCCCCAAACTACCCCAGGGCTCTTCAGTGACATCAAATCCCCGATCAAGTGATCCATTGCCTGGTTACACATTCACCTCGTTGAACTCAGTTACATAGAGACTCACACTGGTCCCTCACAATCGTCCATGTTGCACCAGGCAGTGAGACTGTTACTCATCATGGGAGGTGTAGGCCATCCAGAGAGCCCATCCAGCAATTAAAATTTGGAGCTTAATCACTTGGAACTACAACTCCCACAAGTATCAGAGCAGCATTTTCAATTCAAATATTGTAGTTTTTGGCCAGAATATTTTGGTGTTTCTGCCCAAAATGAACACTTCCGGTGAAAAACTCTCTCCTTTTTTGATCTGCTCTAGTATTTAGGCATAGTGGTCTGATACTCCACAGCCCTGAGTACTTACAGTTCCTATGGATGTCAACGTATGGGATGTTCGGTATTTCTGGAATGATCTTCTCAGCTCTAGTGGAAAGAACTCTTGCACATCTACAAAGGGGTACATTTTTACTAAAGAACAGGCCACACCTTGCTTTTTAGAAGTGAAATATTCAGCTTTTAGCCAACATAATGTAGTGCCCCTGCTGCCAAATTAGAGGTACAAATACATTTACTTCTGGGTGCAAAAATATGGATACAAATTTGTGTAAGTGCAAATTACACTCAGACAAGGGAAACCAACCTTGCTGAAAATTTTTTGCTCAAGATGTATTAAAACCTGTTACTATATAGGGTGAAACCCTGGGCCAGATGAAGCCACGGCGTTTTTCTACTAATCCCTTGAATAGGCTAACATTCATGCTAAATGGCATGCTGTATGTCCAGGCAGCAGTCACCAAAACATGAAGTGATTCTTCTGTTTTGAAAAACACATCCGGGCCCAGTTCTGCCCTTTGGGTACATAGATTTAAATGACCGAGAGTTGCACCAATGTGTCTGAAAGGCAGAAGTGAGCCCTTAAGATCTTGTCAAGAGAGAGCCTTGCAACAAAAGCCCAGTCAGCAGCATATACCAAATTTTCCATGTCCTTCCTTCTCACAGGTTAAATAGATCATCTGGATGCAAAGAAAATTACTGCCTTGGCAAAGATCACACTAGCACATTTAAAAATCTCATTGCAGCCTTGGGAGTATAGTCGCAATAGCAGCACAATTTTGTGAAATCTCTATCTTATTTAAAAACAACCAATAGCACCTTAGAGACTAACAAAAATATATAATATCATGAGCTTTCATAGGTAAACCCACTTCATCAGATGAGCTGGAATGGAAATAACAGAAACCAAGATATCAGCTCATCTGAAGAAGTGGGTTTTACCCATGAAAGCTCATGATACTATTATATATATATATTAGTCTCTAAGGTGCCACAGGACTACTGATTATCTTATTTTGTTAAGGAAGATTTGGAGACCCCCTCGAGTGAACAACTAGCAGTTAATTCTAAGACAGAAATTTTTATTTACAGCTTGTCTAAATCATAGTCTTACTTGGGCACTTTGTAATGTGAAAACAGGAAAAGAAATGTTCTTAAGATGACCTTTTGAGGAAATAACTTAGCTTTCTGCATGCCTGTGGTACTAGGAAGATTACAGATCTGCACCTGCTTCTTTCCCTCTGTTTAATGAAATTAGACAGCAAATTTTGCTAGTGAGGGATAAAGATGTGCTGCACAGTAATGTTATTTGAAGGTTTTAATCTGAATGATGACTGATGTGAAACTAGTCACTTACTGGAGCCTCCTTCTCCTCCCCCCCACAAATCAATCCACATCCATCACAATGCTGCTCCTTGTACCAGCTGCCTTGTTGTCATATTTCCCATGTGAAACACAAAAGAAGCATTGCTTATACATTTACTGACAAATAGCTTTTGGTATTGTGACAAGGACTGAACAATGTTATTTACATAAACACAATTAAATGTTTAAAAGCCAGACCAGTCGCAAGCCAGCAGGACACTAGAGTGCCAATTAACTGTTGAAGTTTCTGAGGAGCTATATACAGTGGCTGGACGTGTGGAATTTCTCAGTAATTTGGTTTGGTTTGTGTGTAAGCAGGGGGATCATACAATATCTCTTCAATGACTCCCACTGATTATCCAGGATGAATTTCACAGCCTTCATTACCACAGAGCAACATAGTTTTAAGATGAGGATGGAAGAGTAGACAGGAACATAAGGGCAGGCCTAGCTATATGAGATTAATACAGTAGACTGATCTATATATTCAGCCTCGCTACGTCTACATTGGCATCCCTTTCTGGAAAAGGGATGCTAATGAGACGAGTCGGAATTGCAAATCCGTGGAGGATTTAAATATCCCCCGCGGCATTTGCATTTACATGGCTGCCGCTTTTTTCCGGCTTCAGGATAAGCCAGAGAAAAGCGCCAGTCTAGACGCGATTCTCTGGAAAATAAGCCCTTTTCCGGAGGATTTTTTATTCCTACTTTCAAGTGTGCAGTTCCGAAGTGTCTAATCTGCATCCCTTTTCCGGAAAAGGGGTGCAGTATAGACACAGCCCCTGTGTCTGTACCGTCACATATACAATAGTTTACCCATATACACTCAAACGGAGACAAATACAAGCACACTCTACATTTATCTTAATTCATTATTTAATGGGGAATATCACCTAAAACTGGGCAAGGCACTACAATGATAGATTCATCAGAAACACTAACTAGACCTGGCAAGAACTGTTTTATGCTGATAAATTCATTTCAGTTCAGAGAGCCCAGAGTCATGACCAAAAGCTGAACACCAAAGGTAATGTCTTTTGTTTAAATTAAACACACATGTTATAACAATCTCTTTCTACAACTCCTATTCATTTTACTGAGATAAAGCAGCTGATCTGGTAACTAAGATGGGCAGTCTTTGATACTTTGATCAGAGACGATGCTCACATTCACACACATCTCCTTACGTTGGGTGCTGTTCTCAGGAAGACAGACAAAAGGGGGAGACTTCTGGCATTTGAATACCATTTTCTCCTTCCTTGAGAGCCTCAGGGATGACATTGGCCAGGGAGGGCCTGTGGCACAGAATAGTCTGGTATCTTGTGGCCTGTAATATTTTGGACTCATTTTAGTGGTTGGATTTAGTGTATGGATGCTGAGTGCCATCGATGGCCTGTGATATAGAGGAGGCCAAACTAGATGATCTAGTGATCGTTCTGGCCTTGAAAGATGTGATTCTATAAATGATTAGGCTGTTTTGATGTCATGGGCAATATTGTCACTAGCATGCCACCTTAGAGACTAAAAAAAATATATAATATCATGAGCTTTCATGAGTAAAACCCACTTCATCTTTTTATTTTAAAGATTTGCATAGTCAATTCATTTTCTTTTTTTTCCCTCCTCCATGTAGAGTGGTAGTTCTGCTCTGTCCATCGCTCTGAAATCTGCCCACATGGAAATTGCAGAGCTTCTCCAAGCCCACACAGAGCAGAGCCGGTCTTTGTCTAAATAGAGGAAAAGGAAAATAGCATTTGTCGGAATGGGGAATGGATAACAAAAGGTTCATTCTTTTCATAACTCTGCTTCCAATTTAGATGCCAATGATTGTAGCTGATACCGCTGATTTCTATACTTACTGAGAACTATGTTAACTATTTGCATACATTCCTAATATATACTTCTCCTCATTAATCTGCTTTTACAGTCTTACCCTATGCATAGTGCCATAAATTACTCAAATGCTGTTTCAGAGAGTTAGATTATTGCATTTCCTTTTATTAACACACTTGGTCTTGATCTTAAAACTGAATTCTACTATTAATGCCTCACAGTATAATTTTGTCACGTCGGTGAACAAAACAAAAACAAAAGCACATTAGAAAAGCAATACTTACTTTTTTGTAATTTTAGATATTAGTGTTCTTTTTAAACAACTATTTAAAATGTGTCTCATTTATATTGCAAGTTTGCATCTTACTGTTTATTATTACACCTTCTGTATGCGCTAGCAGGGAATGGTTACTCAATATAATTGCAGTAAATACAAATCAGGTGGATTCTATAAAAATATCAAATCCTATTGATGTGTTGTTATGTGCTCAAAAGCAATAATTAAAATTAATGCTCTAGTAATATATATGAGTGTGCCAGAGTCAAATATACAGACATTGTTTTTCTTGTATTCAGAATGACCATATGGCTCTCATTTTTTCTAATTAAATTTGCATTAACCAGGAACCATGGCCCCGTGGCATATACTATATATCGTTTATAGGATGCTGAGGTACAATTGTGATGTATCAGGTTATCCAAACACAGCACAGGAGACAAATTACTTGATATAATAACATAATATTCTCTGCAAAGATGGGTTAGTATTGTCTGAAAGGTTACATATATAT